TTAGGTTGCTCTGGAGCCCTCCTTCCTGAGCTGAGACAAAGATGTGTGAGCCGGAGGCTAAAAAACCCTGTGAGCTGGCTCACACTAACTCAGCTTAGAGGGAACGCTGGCACATTTTGATGTGCCACATGTTTGTGCTCGGGGCCGCCATAAAAAGTTAACCAGAGGTAAGTCCCCTCTTTGTATCTTTGTATCAGAGGCGGCCTCCACCTCCTCCTCCTCCGCAAGAGCTTGTGTTGCCGGTCTGCAAAATCCCTTATTTGGCAAGTTGTTCGGTGAGGACACCACTTCCTTTTCCTGTCGGGAGCGGTGTCACCGTGGCAACTGCCGACGTGACTGCAGGAGTGGAGCCTCGGCACTGGGACCAGCATGGCCCGTGCGGAGCATCCTTTCCAGTCAGGCGGGGTCACTACGCCGGTCTGAAGCAATGCAGCAAAGTTTGAGTCCAGGGGCACCTTGAAGACCAACAAAGTTTAATCCTGGGTAGAAGCTTTTGTGTGCGTGCACAAGTGTGTCTTGGCACCTGCTAGCACCTTTCCTGGCATGTGCCAAGCAAGGCTCCCTCCAAGCTGTGGAGTCCTGTGAGCAAAAATTCTCATTTCTGAGCTCCTGGCGTTAAGGTTGTGAGCGAGTGATTTGGCTGCTGCATAAATTAGCTTGCTCTGGAGCCCTCCTTCCTGAGTGGAGACAACAATGTGTGAGCTAGAGGCTACAAAACTGTGAGCTATCTTCACACTAACTCAGCTTAGAGGGAACGCTGTCTGTGAGTGTAGGCGAGGGGGCTGCGGTTCAGTGTGAGCCGGAGGCTAAAAGGACTGTGAGCTAGCTCACTTTCACTCAGCTCAGAGGGAACACTGGTGCCAAGTGTTTCTGAGAAAGTGCCAAGTGTTTGGAGAAAACTGGGGCTTTTGCCCAACGAGGCTTCCAATCGCCCACTGGAGATCTGATGGTCTGAAAAGATTTTTTTTTTTAAATGTTGCTTTGGGAGCAGCTGCCACTGCAACACATGTGAGTGACTGGAGATAAGCTGTTTGTATGCAAGAAAATACTTTAAAACAGTGTGCTATTTTTTAAAGGTGTCCTACCAGACAGAGCTTCTGCCTGAAATGTTGAAGAGGTAAAGAACATAAGAGAAGCCAGCCATGTTGGATCAGTCCAACACTCTGTGTCACACAGGGGCCAAAAATACCAGGTGCCATCAGGAGGTCCAGCAGTGGGGCCAGGAGGACACTAGAAGCCCTCCCACTGTTGCCCCCCCCCCAGCACCAAGAAGACAGAGCATCTCTTGCCCCACACAGAAGAACATAAGAGAAGCCAATGTTGGTTCAGACCAAAGGCCCATCCAGTCCAACACTCTGTATCACACAGTATCCAGAAATACCAGGGGCCATCAGGAGGTCCAACAGTGGGGCCAGGACACCAGAAGCCCCTCCCACTGTTGACCCCCCCCCCGAAGCACCAGGAATACAGAGCATCCCTTGGCCCAGACATAAAAACATAACAGAAGCCAATGCTGGATCAGGCCAATGGCCCCTCCAGTCCAACACTCTGTGTCACACGGTGGCCAAAAATACCAGGTGCCATCAGGAGGTCCAGCAGTGGGGCCAGGACACTAGAAGCCCTCCCACTGTTGCCCCCTCCCCCCAAAGGCACCAAGAATACAGAGCATCCCTTGCCCCAGACATAAAAACATAACAGAAGCCAATGCTGGATCAGGCCAATGGCCCCTCCAGTCCAACACTCTGTGTCACACAGTGGCCAGAAATACCTGGGACCATCAGGAGGTCCAGCAGTGGGGCCAGAACTCCAGAAGCCCTCCCACTGTTGCCCCCCACCAAGCACCAAGAACACAGAGCATCCCTTGCCCCAGACAGAAGAACATAAGAGAAGCCAGTGTTGGATCAGGCCAATGGCCCATCCAGTCCAAGACTCCGTGTCACACAGTGGCCAAAAAGACCAGGTGCCATCAGGAGATCCACCAGTGGGGCCAGGACACTAGAAGCCCTCCCACTGTTGCCCCCCTCAAGCACCAAGTTACTATCAGAGTTATGCAAAGCCCCACTTCCTGACATTTCATGTCTGGCTCTACTTCCTGTGGCAGTGATTTTGTGGTTACACCCACCGCCAGGACTCTTTTGGTCCTTGGTTCAGACCAAAGGCCCATCCAGTCCAACACTCTGTATCACACAGTATCCAGAAATACCAGGGGCCATCAGGAGGTCCAACAGTGGGGCCAGGACACCAGAAGCCCCTCCCACTGTTGACCC